TTTCCCTCTTTTCTCCTCCCTCTTCTCTACCTCCTCTCCCTCTTTCTTTGTCTTCTTTTTTAATCCAACTTGTCTGAAGTACTAAATGCAAGTAAATGAGGTATGATGAATTTACTTTTAAAAATATTGAATTTGTGAATATGTTGGAATATCTTAAATTGGTACAACCTACGGACTGATTTAATTTGCTCTCCATCTGGCCATGGGCGCACAAACATTATGTAAGACCCTTCCAATCTGACTGTTAAATGCTGCCTGCCCTTTCTTTTCCTGGCCCACCACAGCTACTTATCTTTAGCTGCATCAAGATTGGAAAGCTTATTTTCTACCTGCTCCCAGATTAGCACACTTCCTTGCATAGAGTGGAGAGCTTTGGAGTCAGACAAACTTGGGTTGGAGTTCCTGGTTCAAGCATTTCTCAACTGTATCATGTGAGGGAAATGTAGGAGAAATTTTTCTGTGTCTCAGTTTCTTCGTCCGTAAAGTGGGATAATAATACTTTGAAAGATTGTTGTGACTCTTGGAAATAATCAGTTCAAAGCCCGATGTTGTAGATAGTCAAACCTAGAAGCTGTTTCTAGCAAAATCTTTTCTGCTGGAGTCCACCCCTTCTATCTCTTCAGTGTCCTTTTTCTCTCTCCCTTGATAACGTATATTAAATAATCATCCGTTATAGCAATATTTCCACCTAGCTATTCTGAGGCAAAGACAACCTTAAAATAATATTGGCTTGGAGACCAGCAGATGGTGTACTGGTTATATTGCTGAACTCCCACGTAGTTCACTGTGGTTCCTATCCAGACCCAGACCCAGAGTCTTAAAGCTGATGCCAGGTGCATGTGCATGGGTGCCCAGAATCCCCAGAGGAGAACGGAGGAAAAGGGATTGCTTGGCCATACCACCCTGGGGGGGGGATGATTTCTTGCTTCCTATCTCAATGTCTCTGGTGAATGCATGTGCTCTGTAACAAAACTCTCTCTCTCAATAATAATAATAATAATAATAGTAATAATAATAATAATATTGGCTTGTATGTCTGTTTGTGTTTCTGGGACTCCTAGGTTCCACTCTCAGTCTGTCATGTCCTTCGGTAGAGATATGGAGCTGGAGCACTTTGACGAGCGGGATAAGGCGCAGAGATACAGCAGGGGGTCGCGGGTGAACGGCCTGCCAAGCCCCACGCACAGCGCCCACTGCAGCTTCTACCGAACCCGCACACTGCAGACGCTCAGCTCCGAGAAGAAGGCCAAGAAAGTTCGTTTCTATCGAAACGGAGATCGATACTTCAAAGGGATTGTATATGCCATCTCTCCAGACCGGTTCCGATCTTTTGAGGCCCTGCTGGCTGATTTGACCAGAACTCTGTCGGATAATGTGAATTTGCCCCAGGGAGTGAGAACAATCTACACCATTGATGGGCTCAAGAAGATTTCCAGCCTGGACCAACTAGTGGAAGGTGAGCACTAGCAGATAACCCCCAAGTGACTCTCCAGGTCCTAGTCTTAGATTTCCACATTGTTCTAGCCTTTTCCCACTTGACCTCTGAGAGGCCTCATTCAGCCTCATGGCTGTGATCCTTATTGTTGAACAGGTGGGTCTCATTCAGCATGATGGCTGTGATCCTTATTGTTGAACAGGTGGGGTTTGCTGTATCCTAGTTTAAAAAGAGAAAGAAATTAATGGTACTGGATCAGATTGCTTAAAATAATAGGCCAAGTGTCTAATTCCACAGCGTTCTCTACTTTCTTTCTCACACCCTGCTACATTATTTAAAAAAGCCCATTTTTATATCTTTCATTGCATAGTTCATATTCATTTCTAGATGTAAATTGAACTTGTGTTATCATGATGTCCAAAAGCACTTGAACCAAACACGAAGAATGGGTCATGAAATTTTAGATTTGAAAGGGACTTAGATAGCTATCAAACCTATTAATTTTATCATTTGAGACTGAGGCCCGGAACATTCAAAAGACTTATCTGTGGTTCCCTGCTAAGTTGATGGTGAAGTTGGACTAAATATTAGGTTGTCTGACAACTCTTTCCGCAGTGCTATTTCTTTTTAAGTTTAAAGGATTATCGACTTTCTACAGTGTTTGAGGATATGCAGTAGTTAATTTGTTCAGCTTACTTTAAAAAAAAATCAATTCAGGTTAACAGTAATAATCTGTTTTAGATATTTGATGTAGAAATTTGGAACCATGAATGAGGCCTTGTATCTTGTGTAAGTATAGTAAGTTACCCCTTTGCTTGCTTTGGACCAACACTGTTTGAACAGGGTATGAAGCCTCTCAATGCCTTAGAAATCATAATCAAAATGATTTGGAGAGGTAACTGAGGTTAAATGTATGCTAAGGTCTGAATGAAGATAGATCCTCACTGGAAAGTAGGCTTTTGTGATATTGAGATCTCAAGGGCCTGATGAAATAGGTAGGAGGCATGGGAACATGGGAAAGGTTGGTATAACAGAGGGTTGACTTAATTTCATCTCGAGTTCATTTTTACTCCTGAAATATTATCCAGTCCCTGTTGTCCAACTGAGTCCTGGAGAGATGCCCTGCAATTCCCTCCCTCTCCTGTGTAGGTAGTGGGAAGTGGCCCTTTCAGCCCTGTTGGAGTTTTGGCTTGCTCTCCCCTAACCACACACTGGCAAAATCTTCGTGTCCTCCTTTGAAAGCAGACTTTGTATTTGATTCAAAGCTGAGAGCTTCTTCCTTTTTTCTTTCCTTTATTCTTTGG